CGGCGGGCGCCGACGGCTCGTCCGGCGTGCTCATCGGCGTGGGCGCGGCGCTGCTGGCGCTGGCGCTGGGCGGCGCCGTGCTGGGCGCGCTGGGCGCGCAGGCGCGCCGCAAGCGGGCCACGCGCGGCACCTACTCGCCCTCGGGCCAGGAGTACTGCAACCCGCGCGCCGAGATGCTGCACAGCGCGCTCAAGCCGCCGCCCGAGGAGCGCCTCATCTAGAGGGCGCGTCCTCGCGGGAACTCCGTTTCGGCCGGACAGTGTTGTGCCTTGGCCCGGGCCGCGCGGACGCGGTGGGTTCGCGACGAGACGACCGGTGTGACACCGAAGGCGTCACGCTTCATTTTCACCCTTCTTTTTCCGTTCTTTAAGTTCTCAACACAGACAAACGACGCACCACGTCGCTGTCGGGTAGTAATAAAGAAGAACTTCTTTTATTAACGCTAACCCTGCGAAAGTTCCACATTCCTAGTGCTTCGCCTTGTACAGGCATATTCTGCTATTTGCTACCCAGGTCATCTTTTTTTTTACTATACCAAATGACGAGATAAACAAGTCGTGGACCTAGCGATATAATTAGGTAAAAAATTGTATACTCACGACTCTTATTTGACTCCTTGGAAATTTTATCCCAAATCATCTCCTTCTACTGCTTTTATAATTTCTATCACTTTTATCAAATAAATTGGGCATGATTGCACCAATGATATAAATTTTTCGGTCGAATTCACCTTGAAACTTAATTAAAATACACTCCACAGTTGTAAAAAAGTACAACGTCCAAGCCCGCTGAAGCCTCGCTAATGTCCCGCTCGAACTCGTTACATTACAAAAAATCCCAGACCGCTTCCGCGGCCGCCTCTGCGTGGCCAGGGGCATTACTTTAGGATTTCATCGAAACGACCGATGAATTCGAACGCGCGAGTTATATTTTTAATATTGTATAGTGATAAACGAACGTTCGTGCTGAAGGCAGATTTATGTACCCGCGCGCGCGCACGGCTCACATACGTACTTAATATTTGTAGCATAGAAAAAGAATTTATCGATTGTTCGGGTTGTTGTCAGAGTTGGCTCCGCCCGTCTCTTGCGCTCGCTCTTTAGATGTACTCGGCAGAAGCGGAACTGTTGTAACAGCGTATCGTAAACCGAGACGCATCATATGGTGACGTAGCTGTCGAGCCGACGGGCGAATAGTTGTAAGTTTAGTTTGTAAGAGAAATAAAGCGTGCAAGATTCTAAATTACTTGGTAGTAAAGGCGTTCCTCGTCCGCAATGGCCGAGCAACGGCGCGACCGGCGCGCGGCAGACACGCACTCGCTTCGGTCCCTAAGTTTCGATTGTAACACTGTTAGAGCCTGGACCCGGCGTATTTCTTACGCGCCGTAAACGCGCGTCATCTGACGTATCGCGCATTTCGATAAGAGATAATTTTAATTTTAGTCTTGTATGTTAGTTTCAGTTAATTTTTACATGACATTCGATATAATCTTGCAACGCGATGTTTGCGCGTATAAAATACGTCGTGTGTAAAGGCTGTATATAGCTATATTTGATAAAAGATAGAATCAACGTGATCGGGTGCGGCCGCGAGCCGGCGCCGGCGCCGCCGCCGCCGCAGGCCGCGGAGAGCCGCCCGTGCCTTACACGAAAGTCTGTATATTTGAGAACCCTTTACAATTATACAAAATAGTCTTATCTACATTTTTGTACTATGGTGTAAGTACTCAATACTTAGGATGTGTTCCGTAAGCATCTCTTTATACTTAATTTTTTCGACTCGCTTAGTGCAGAGTATTAATTAGTACATATTATTACGTAGTGTAAGTGTACAGTAGTCATAGTGTAACGTTCAATATTTATATCGTAGCGTGCTCTTAAGTGCAGTACTTACTCGCTATAGCCGATTCCAGTATTGCAACGGACTTGCTCGCGCTGCGTTGCTCAAATGACATTCCAGCTTCAATTCCTTTTTGTTTTTAGGTGTAGTCGATAAAGAATTGCGTTAAGTTCCCTTTGAGCCGCCCCATTTAATGCATTGTGATATTTTTTAATTTTGATTACATATCGTTAGAATTGATTTATGAATTAATACAGACTTATTTAACTACATCGTTTTGTATCGTATATTAATTTTAGAATGCGTTTTGCAGTCAGTGATATGTTCAATGTATTTACACTAGAAACCTGCAAAGCGAGGCGCCGCTCTCGGTAACTGACATACTGAAGTGCTAGTAATAAATAATAGATTGATAACTCTCTTTGCACGTTTCACCACAGGTTTTATATAATAATAGGTTATTAATTAATTAACGTGTGATCTACAATGTAAATAATGTGAACGTTCGTTGCGACGAAGGCTCACTGCAAGCAATGTGTCCGTCCAGGCGGCGCGCGCGCAGGCGCTATTGCGCTGCGCCGCCGCTCAATAAATTCATATGTACAGCGAGCGAGCGTTTTATTCCTTAGATGTAATTAAATGAAACCACAGCGTAGTTCTAAACACGTCCTTTATTCAAATACTGTACAGGCTGTATTAAGATTACAATACATAACAACGCGAGCCGAGGGACACATCATCGGCAGTACACGGTTTGCGACCACCCTGCTTGGCGGCTTGCAGCAGGCGATGCAGTAATACAAAAGACGGCGAAGAACGAGGTCTTTCGTATGACTCCATTTGCGCGTGCACGTTGTCCCTCGGCAAGGCCCGCGCTCAAGCTTCCAACGCAAAGGAATGACTTAGATATAACCTCCTCGCACTATTGCATAACTTCAATCGGAAACGTTTCCTTCATCGCAGTGGACGCACTCATCGTTTGGCAATTATCGACTACACGTTTTGGAGGGTTCTTCGGAAGTATTGCTTATTATTACCAATGGTCGGAAAAAGGTGTTCCATATATGTGGAACACCTTTGTAGCTATATCTATACATGTATCTATATATATGTGGGAACACCTTTTCCCGATCATTGATTTTATTACACATAATTAATTACAACGCTTGGTAATCCCGATGCACATTTCCACATTTATGGTCTCTTTCATATTTCATACTTACGAACGCAATAAATTAGGTTGCAATAATAATAATAATGGTGTAAATTCGCGTAAACGCACAACTAAAATAGTTTTCCGGTAAGTGCATCTTCGATACGGGTTTCATTCGATACGGGCAACAAAAGTTGTAGATATCAGTTGTGTTAAATTTTCTGATATTTTTGTTTAAGTTCTAATCTTAAACGAAATCTCCCGTCTTTGTTTGTTAGCCCTTAACAAAAGGATCGATACATTAAAATTAATTTCCCGTTCGCGAGAATTGACACAAAAGTTTCGTTAATGAGTCGAATCAGTGTTGCGTGGTCGCGTACGTGTGTACCGCAGTGGACTCACTGATTTAGCACCAGTATGTGAGCACTCCTTTACTTGCTACTTCAGCGACAGAATAGGAAAGACGGAAGGTGACTACGTCGAGGTTCGGAGCTCAAAAGTGGAGGAAGCACAGACAATACCCAAAATATAGGAACATTCAGTCGTCGTGTAGGTCGTCACATATTTGAAAAGAATCCTACTTATAGTAAAAAATATAAACATTGTAAATGATACAAAAGACTCGACTCGACAAGTTACACATCGTAAAACAATTACTTTATGGCATAATTTACATTACATAATAATAAAAACAATAAATATGCATTGTTTCGTCATCCACACGGGATCGACGACGGGCGCGCGATCAGGCCGCTTCCCGACTACGCACTGTCCACGTCAACTCTACATCACAGAGGGGCCCGCGGGGGCGGGGGCGGGGGCGGGCGCGGGGGCCGTGGCCTCGCTCGCTCACGCCGTCGACGCCGTCGGCTACCTGCAACGGAAGCGGAGCGGTGAGCGCGGGGCGCGGGGCGGGGCGGCCGCGGGACGGGGGGGCCTACCTGTTGTCGTGCGGGTGCAGCACCACGCGCTGGTAGTCGCGGCGCGCCAGCTGCTGCCGCTGCCGCGACCCCAGCTCCGCCGTGCCGTCGCGCGTGATGAACAGCTGCAGCCCCGACGCTGCAACACGCGACGCGAATGGTCAGTCACCCTTCGCGCCTCCGCGGCGCCGCGGCCCCTCGCGAGGGATACTGACTCTCGGCGTTGTCCTCGACGGCCTTCTTGAGGTCGGTGGAGGCGATGATCTCGTCGATGAGCGAGTCCGGGTCCACGCGCGTGTTCTCGACGCGGCACGAGGCGACGTGGCCGTCGCCGGCGTCGGGCGGCAGCTGCGCGGGCGGCGCGGGCGCCAGCCCCGGCCCCTGCCCGCCGCGCTTGCGCCGCTCCAGCTGCGCCCGCGCGCGCTCCAGCGAGCCGCTCTCCGACGCCGACGTCGTCACCGACCCCGTCGACGGGTTCCTGCGCCGATACGGACGTTACTCGCGCGGCGGGGCGGACCGGGGGACTAGACTACTTCTCAGTAACTAAATACGGGTCGTGCACGGCAACGCACTGCGTTGTTGTATCTCATGCGGCATGCGGTTATTGAAGCGCTTTGAACGTCAGCAAACAAACTCACAAGCCAAAGGGGTACCCTGGAAGGTAACACCGCGGTTTCTACGCCTCGGCGTGGACACTATTTACGAAAATGCCAAACAATGATAACAATCGTGGAACGAAGCAACGGAACACGAATACAATAATAATGACCACTACAATAAAAAGCCGTCGCGACACGACACGACACGGACACGGGACGACATCTACCCGAACCGCCGCGGCGGCCGCCCGGAATCCGCCGTTAGCGGCGAGAGCGAGGGCGTTCCGGGCGGCCGCGAGGGCGGTCCGCTGTACTGTGTGTGCGGAGACTGACAGCGCGGAGGAGGGCCGGCGCGGCAGCGAGCCCTCGCGCAGCGCGCCGCACGAGCACCACTCCGCCTCGCCGCGCCTGCAGCACGGCACGGGTCAGTGCCCACGGCAACGGCTACCAGCACCCGACTCACAAACCGAACGCGAGGAGAAGGACAGGACAGAACAAGGAGCGACAGAGACAGACCGGCGGCACCTCACCCGGTTAGTGGGCGGCGATAGAGGCGAGAGGCGGCAGAGGCGGCACTCACCTCGAGTGCTCGGTGTAGCTGTGCCGCAGGAAGGGGCCGCGCTGCAGCCCCTGCGGCCGGCTCTTAGCGAAAGGGCGGGGGCTGGACTCGCCCTTGGGCGTGGACGTGAACACGGACTCCTCGTCGAGCGCCCGGTTGGAGAGGCTCCTGAACCGGTGGCGGACGTCGATGCGCTCGGCCGATTCCGCCTCGGCGTCGGGCTCCGACGGAATGCAGTAGAACTCGTCCTCGAGGCAGCCCGACAGCCGGTTGGCGTTCGACACCAGCGAGCTCTTACGGTGCGCCAGGGGCGTCAGAAAAGGGAAGTTGGTGAACAGTTCCTCGTTGCGTCTGTTGCGCTCGATCAGAGCGGGGATCGTCGTGAGCGACTTCTGCTTCAGCACCTGGAAGTTGGCGAGCGGCTTCGCGGCCGCGCCGAGGAACGCCGCCGCCGCGCGCTTCTTGTCGAAGTACGTGGGGATGACGAAGGGACCGTCCGGGGCGTCGCGCCCGTTCTCGAGGGAGGCGTCGGGGGTGGCGTACTCGTGGGCGGCGGGCGAGCCCAGCGCGCTGCGGACCACGTCGGGCGGGGGGCACGCGCCCAGCGAGCAGTTGGGCGTGAGGAACACGTCGGAGCTCTCGCTGGTGACGGTGCGCTCCAGCAGCAGCTTGGCCGCGGGGCGCCCTGAGTGGCGGGGGGCGGGGACCGAAACGGTGGTCGTGCTCACGGTCGTGCGCTCCACGCGCAGGCTGCGCGGGACAAAGCAGTCATTAACGGGCCGACCCGCCGGGACAGGACTGCCGGGAACCTACAAGGGGCGGAGGGCGGGGAGGCGGGGAGCCGGTTCGCGCGGCCCGCGCTCGGGCCTACCTGTGGTGGTGGCGCGCGGCGTCGGGCGCGGAGTCGCCCTCCGAGCTCTGCCGCGAGTGCGCCGACGCCGCCGACGCGGAGCTGCCGTAGCCGGACGCCTGCAACAGCACACCAACGGTCTGAGGCCGCGGCCGCGGGCGCCGGGCGCGTCGCCGGCCGCGCCGCACCTTGCTGCTCATGTCGCCGGACGTGTTGGACGAGTTGCGCGAGTGCGTGTGCTGCTGCTGCTGCAGACACGCGGCGCACGCGCCGCCGCCCGCGCCGGCCAGGGTGAGCCCTGGAACGGTCGACAAGTGATGTTTCGACCTACTGCGCAATCGCTCATAATGACTGTTGTCAACGTACCGTATGAGCGCAGTGCACGACGATCCATTTACTCAATTTGTTCATTTGCATTCTCGCCATATTTAAAGAAGTCATTCTATATCCGACACTGAAATCAAATCACTAAAATATTTCCGAAAAAAGAGTTTCCTTAGTTCTTATTTCATTGTGGCAATCACCTGATCCCGCTCGGTCCAAAGGTCATTGACTTGCACGGTACGTGCTACCTATTAAAACTTATAGCGCAGTCGGAGGAACCGAGAAAATATTGCTATTTCTTTCTTTCTCAAACGCAACGCACGCGCCTGCCTAGCTGCCTCGCTTACGCACAAGGATTAAGGTGGGGTAGCCGAACTCGTCGCAATTCTAGTGATCTATTAGCTAGTCTCTCACTAAATGCCACGTGGTTTGATATGTAAACAAGAGTTAGTGCAAAAATGAACGGCTACCAGAATTTGTATGAACCGTCAAGCGCAAGAGCGCGACTATTCTTATGGATGATGTGAAACGTTTAGATTACGAGAATCGAAAAATTGCGCGCAAAAATCGTCTTTGCTTTCAGAATTGTGAAACCAAACATGGAAAGTTCAAGCGAAACCGGTGGTGGCTCCGGTACGGAGCCAGCCACCAACTGTGGAGCTAGGTACTTCTAGCAAAATTTTCATGTAACCTAAAGTTGGTAAGTATCTACCAAATATAGGTTACAAATTTTTTTTTTTTTTCACTCAACTTTTCCAATTAATGTAAATAATTAGTGAATTATAACAATACTATTACATAATCATAATTTAAAAAGTAAGTAAATAAGCGATCTAGAAAGATTGCGTATCGCTCGGCGAAGCGGGTGGCGGGGTCACTGCCCTCGCGCGGTGCATACGATTTAGGGACCATTTTTCAAGACTTTGCTATACAATTAGCCAGAATATTGAACAGAATATATTTTTTTTAAATATGGCGAGAATGCAAATCAACACACTATATACCCTACGTTCTCAAGAATACGGTTCCGTTCCTCCATTACGCATACCGAATGTGCGAGAGAAAGATATATGTTCTGATTATCATTATACTGCCACCGTTAGTTGAACGGGCGCATGTATCAATTGATCAATTTTTGATTTTTGAAAAATTTTGTTGTGTAAAAAAAGCCAGTCTGTTACTATTTTTATTTTTTCCTAAGTGGATAAGGTATGAAGTTACCGCAAGAGAAAAGTAGATATTTTTAAATTTCATTTCTTTAAACATTTTCTCGGTTTTGAGTTTTTGTCACATGCGCCCTTGCAACTAACGGCCGCAATATAGAGGAGTGCAAGCGGACTGTGAGTTTCCTCATCATCAGCAGCGGTAAGATGGCGCAACGTATCACCTGGGTGGTCGGTGAGCGACAGCGGCGGCGGCTCGTCGGGCTCGGGCGAGGGCAGTTCGCACGATGGCAGCGACGACAGCGGCTGCGCGTGGCTACCCTCTGCGAACAATAACAGCGGTTAAACCATCACTGATGGAATTTTCAATGTAATTTACGGTAACGGCACGTAAACGTGAGGCATACGCAGGACTAACCGTGTGGCCGTCTCTTGGTGAGACTTCCGAACCCGGAAGAGGCCGTGGAGGAGCCGCAGTCGTCGTCAGCGGCGGGTGCACTCTCCGAGCCGCTGTCCCCCGCGCCGCCGCCGCCACCGCTGCCTGTGCCCGGCGCCGTCACGCGCCCTTCCGCTGCCACGTCTTGCTTGCGCTCGGGGCTGTGAATTGCAAATTGCACATAAATACCGGACTGTTGCTTGAGTGTGAAATCTTTAAGTATCAATGAGAGTACTGCCACCTTACCTATTTCTGCTGCCAAGCGGTAATGTTAGCATTACTGCGTTCCAGTTTTGAAGGGTAAGGGTGTTGGTAAAATACAGGTACAAGGGACTTGTCAACCTATGTCTCAGGCTGACGGGCACAGTGGCAGTGTTCCTCAGATCTTGCGATTTAAAGCTGTGAGTGGCACTGCAACTGTTATGGACAGGCGTGTAGCTTACCATCAGGCACACAACTCGTTCGACTCGTCACTTGATATTATATAAAAAAAAGAGAACATGTAGACAATTCCAGTACGGACATACAATTCTTGTGATATACGGTGTTGTACTCGAAGGTCATCTAGCTGAGTGACACTGGTGCATTAGTAGGAACATTTCGCCTTACACTTTGAAGAGCGGGTCTCCGGAGATCATATTCATCTTGACGCGCACGCGCAACACGGAGTTATCCTGCCGCCGGCGTGGGTCGTAGCCCTCGAGCAGGCAGCGTCGCGTCGCCTCCCCCGCGCCCGCCAGCTCTGCCAAGTTCACGTCGCAGAAACCCAGCTTCTGATATGACCGCCCGCCTGCAACCATATGTCCAGGAAAACCTTTATTATGTCCATTAAACGCCGAAGTGATAAAAGAAATGACCATGTTTGCTTGTTATGTCAATAAGGCTCACAATCTCTAGGTAGGTGGAAGTAATTTATTTATTTACTTATTGAGAATTAAGGATAGCCAACACAACATATTTTATATATATATAAAATATATAGTATATATAGTATAGCTAAAAGGGTACAACCAAAATATATAAGCATTATACAAATCGCACTTACAGATTACCACATCATGGTAGTAGTAACAAGCGGATTTTGTTATATATAACATTTATACACTTTCAAATTCATATAGCAATAGTTTACAAATTAACATAATTTCTTAATATAATTTTATTTTAATATTATTTTATTTTTTGGTAAACATAATCAGGTAAACAGCTTTTTACTTCTGGACTAACGCAACAATAAAAATGTTTCTACTTTAAGCTTGCATAACTTCGTCACTCGCTTAGTTATTTTACTCGGCAAGCTTAAGTTTGCCTAGTAAAATATATATTTCATAAATGAAACTCTGACAGAATTTATGTGAAGTTCCTGGAGAAATAATAATATGCAAGGTTCAATGGAATTATGAATTGCCCTTCCACCTAGGAATATAAGAAAATGCAAAAACTGGGAGACATGACATCACCCTTCAAGATAGCTTGACTTTTAAACTTTTGTTTAAACAAGCAGTTCCACCTTATGGAACCGTTAAAAAATCTATGCTAAGAACCTTGAAAGTATGGAAATATAATTATTTTGAGAAGTTGGTATTGGAATTCGGGTCTTGTATTAGAGTGGATTGTGTTACTAACGGACACATGATTGTCATGTCATGTCATTATCATGTCAGCACAGCAGTACCTTTGCACTCCTTGCGCACGGAAATGCGCATGAGCGCCGGCTCGAGTACGCCGGTGTTAGCGTTGGCGCACATCTTGCACATGAACGAGAACTGCGCGTTCCACCGCACCGCGTGGTTGCGCACCTCCTCCCTGAAATCGACAAATGGATTTATTTAGGTATGGTCCCTTGACTCAGCACGAAGCTGGAATATTATTCAACATTCACACACAAGTCCTTCATAAAATTATTCCCAATTTTTGTTAACCAATACCGCATACTGACCACATTTATATTGCAGACATAGTGCACTCGCACTCTCAATAATAAAGTGACGTAATTGGAAAAGTAACATTTTTGCGATGGTTACAAAATAAATTTAAAAAAGTATGAAATAAAACTAAAATATCGTTTTTCATTTTTGTCGTATTTGGCACCAGCCAAATTGCATGTTCGCTACTTTTTAAAATCTATTTTGTCAGTTTCCCTTTTGGGATACTTCTCGAGTTATAATATAAATTCAGTAAGCTATAAGAGCTCACGTCCGGACTGAAATCATAAAGGAAAAATTCAAATCGACCTCGACATTTGAGGGGTCGACTAACATTTCAAAACAAAAACCAGCATCTAGCATTATGCTATATTTAGTACATTACATTTGCTACATGCAACTATTTGGCTCCACCACGTACTTAGTTTTAAAATGGGTAGTTATAACGTTCTAACGCCGAATTTTGCTAATAGGTAACCAGGTAGCGACAAATGTCGGAGACAAATGTTTTAATATACCTGAGAGGCGAGCTGGTCGGACATAATGCCGAACCCGTCAAGCACGAGAGATTACTCAGCGAAACTGCCTATTTCTTCGAAGTATAACTATAAAATAGTTTTTAGTTTGTATAATGGTAATAGTCGTAATGCAAACGAGATCTATGAGAATTGAAGCGTCACAATTTAGCGAAACGGCCGTCGCCGTGCCTATGCCGGTCACATGTGCTACAAGCGTGGGAAGCAACACATACAAATTACTCCAAACCTCATGAGTTTAATTAACGCGGTCGCAAAACTCAATCCTCTTGATTGGGGTCACAAGTCGCAAGCCGTCGATGCCTAAATATCCTCGCAATGACGTGAACACCAAATAGAGGGCTATTAAATTGTCTACGTAACTTGCATCGAATGTCGGCGGCGGTGCACCGGCCGCTGTTTCCGCGCCCACGTTTCTTCAACATGCGTGCTTTGCTTATACGATCGTTCGTGTGTCGTCTCTTGGACTATCGGTCCACATTTCCGCATTTTAATGAATGATTATTATCACTATTCATAGGGATTTGTAAGTAATTAATGAAAAATACATTTCTGAAATGTTGTTTTCTATTCCATGTAGCGAAGTGTAACGTTCAGTTGTAATCATGGTTATGATCTATGAGACATGACCGCCCTTGGTCGTGCGTCAACGCTCTCATGTCAGACATACAAGAGAGATCATTTGAGTGAATTACAGCAACGTTTTGTACTGTCGTGTCGTAGCAATGCCAAAAGTGTATCCGATGAAGGCGTTTCACGTCATCCGTCGGCAAGTGTTATTTCCACCAAACCAAAAAAGTGTTGCTAACGTGTTGGAAACTTTGAGCCATATTTGATAATAATAATAATCATTCAAAGTTTTCGTGGTCTTTTTTTAAATACATTTTTAAATAAAACAGATTCAAACGAACGAGAAAAGGTGAATATATCGGGTATACGCAGATAAGGAGGCAATAATTAAGCGTTTGCAAGATTGTAGAAATAAGTATTAATATCCTTCTCTTTCCGAAAGGACTTTGAATTGTTTCTAAAGATGACACGGTCATCATTATTACCTATCCTGGTCTCAAACCACAAAAGTTAATTTTAAGGCAGTTTTTTTTGTATTGTTTTCTTTTATAAGAAAACCTAAAACAATGAATTAATGGCATGAAGTCAACAAACCGAGTAAAGTTGCTCAATTCGCAAAAAATGTACTGGCAGGTCTAACTATTTTCGAAAGAAATTTGACTCCTGCAGTTCATCAGTTAACGCTAATAACAATACCTTTAAAGAAATGTCTGGTTCAATAGCTAGGTATGAAACAAAATGCCGATATATAGCTAGATATGGACCCACCCCTGTCATAGTACATGTCAAATGAACCTAGAATTTATGTTTATTGGATTTCTAGCTCCCAAGTTGATTTTCACGTCAATAACATTACATTTTATTAGATTTGATGAATAAGGTTGATTTTTCACGAAAAAGTATTTTGTATTTGGCAAATTTCGACTGATAAAAATATCTACCTACAGTATTTACCAAAATCATAGACTTGAGATACACAGCGACAGGTCTATAAACTTCAGGCATTACATCAATAAAATAACAAGTAAATCCTCACAGCTATCTGGCTATATATCTATACATATAACATCCTTGAAGGACCTTTGATATCTGTATATATATATATATATATATATATATATATATATATACCACTGCAGTTAGGAACGTACGATCTCCGGGTTACATTGTGCACTCCAATAGAATAGAGAGAAACCAAAAAAGAGTCCCGTATCAACTATCCTACGTCAGAAATACGTAAGTGGAAAACTCTGCCGTCGTCGTATGAAAGTAGATTGAGCTTTTACAAAATAAGCAGCTTGATTTTGATTGCCTCTCCCGATCGGAAACTGCGTCTTTTCTGAGTCGAGGCTTATAATATTGCGAGTTGGCTGCCCGATCGGATCGATTCCCATTTGAATTAAAATCAGGACCAAGGTATAAAATGTTCAAGCCTGTTATGTGTACGTATATTCAAGTTGTAAACCAAATAAAAGTATATTAAAAAAATTAACCAACCGATGCAGTTGATGTCGTTTTATCACGGGAGTCCATTTGTCAGGACCGAAATCGCAATCCAAAATTAATACGTCGGCTATCGAGTCGCAAATCATTCACCGACAGCGATGAGTCGCGTTAATAATTCCGCTTTCAAATGTTTCACTTCCAGTAAAGTCGGCTCTATTCCTACGGTCAACACGTCGTACGTTGGCCACGGCCGTTCATAATTAACAGTATTGGTCCAATTCTTTTGTAAATAACCTTAGCAGGTAACGCATCGCTAATCTGAGTGAGATAGGTAAAATGTTCCTGTTTTTCATTCGCAAATAATCTACATCGTATTTTCATTTAACCCATAGATTCGCAAACTTTTTCCCTCACTGCCCACTCAGCAAGATAAAAGACATTCAACGCACACCACTACAAAAAATAATTGAACACACGTATTTTTTTATATTAACTTAACACAAAAAACCATAAGGAAAAAAATTATATATGTACTGTAGTTTATATAGATAATTCAGGTTTTTTTTCCAAATGCAGTAGGAGCTCCTGGACAGCACCAACGCTCCTCAATTGCTTCCGAGGCCCCTACTGCCCTAGGACTCTTCAACGCCCACTGGGCGGTAGGGAACACTTTGGGAAACTATGATTTAACCCACACGAGAATTATAATTCCATACGAAGAGCAGACCTCAAAAGTTATCGTTAAGGAAATTAAACCCTTCTAACACACAATTGCATATAGCTTCTAATTAATTACATTTTGTATGATTGTACCCAATGCCCCCTTCCCTCGTCAACGTGATGGTCGTTACCGTCAGTAGAGGTGCGTTTCCGTGGTAAATCAGAGGGACTACCGTGCCACCGCCGGCCGTGGCTTTGTTATTATTATTTAGAGAACTTTCCAAAGCGTCTCTGTGGAATTAAATATAAGGTTTACGTTAGGTTCAAAGAACGAGTCTGTTTTTGAAATTAACTTCGAGTAAGACTCGAAACTCACACTAGCATCTCGAATTTGAAGCGAACATGATGTCATCGGCAGAGGTCGTCGAACGGAATCGTCTGCAAAGTCGGTGATATCAGGTTTAACTTTTTTATCGAAACAACATTCGTTAATTGCAACAGCTACCAACCAATCGGTAATGCGTTCGTCAAACTATCACAATAGAGGGCGTGCGGTGTGACTTTCGAAATTCCGTTATTGGGGTGTTTCACACTCGACTACGCAGGGCTCGTAGCTGGCTTAACGCATGGTACCAGCCGGTACCACAAAGATCGGTCGCGTCCCTAAGGCCTCGTTAAATTTGGCCAGCGTCTTCCTGCAAAATTACACATTACAACTGCGTCCCGCAGCGAAAGTATATTAATAATCGATTTTGTCTGGGAACTTGGAAAGTTGATATTTACTGAAAGTTGATAGATACTCTCTAAGCGGAAATGCATAAAATAGCAGCGATGTTACCATTTTATTCAAGTAAATTTATTTGTGCCAAATTCAATAGTTTACATGTGACTAAATATCACTGAGCAATTCACAGTCGGGTGAGTGCAGCTCACCTGAGTGTGTCGGTTGCCGTCAGCCGCCAAACCCATTAATCGTGCTCCCGTCGGCGACGCCGACGCCATGCAGCGCCAATTGCGGTAAATCACGTCGGCGAAAACTCCATGCTATTAGCTTCACATAAACGACAATAAATTTACTCTCTTAAACCCAAAACACACATTGCCTTGCTAGTTATAAAGAACATTTAATTATTAATTAATAGATTCAGATTTTTTTTGAAACATTACTTAAATGGCAGTAAATTACTTTGTTATTTCAAATTCGAGTTCAAACGCCACTACAGTTGCAGACACCTCTGCCAGACACGCCCTAATTCTTATATTCGGGTATATTTTTGGTTGGTATATTGTTTTTAACTGTAGTTGTACACAAGCGCAGCTATTTTGCACGATTTAACCATCACTAGATTCAAGGAGTAGCAAAGTAATTTACTTCCATTTTTATATAATTATTATCCCATTAATACACTTTCAGCTGGATGTAACAAATCAGCGAGCAACCAAGGCCGGATGATTATGTAATTGTTACTCTGCGTACGCATACGTGAACTGAACAAATTCGCATAAGTAACAACATATTTTCGTTTTGTTAATTAATTTCGGAAGGAAACTCCAATCTGGGAATCTTTATCGCGTTCATGAATATTAAAACAGATCGTCTGCATTAACATTTAAATAGTCCAATAAGCGCGGCTGTTGTGTTACATACAGTTAGGATATTTCGTTCATT